CTGGGATGAAGGATTACCAAGTTAGTTCAAATGAATGACCTTGACCAACTTTCAAAGGTCAAAGGGGTCAAATGTCATAAAATCTTCAAACGACTTCTTCTCAATAACCAAAAGGCCCAGGGTACTGATATTGGGCCTGTAGCATGCTGGGATGAAGGGCTACCAAGTTTGTTTAAATGAATGACATTGACCCACTTTCAAGGTCACTGGGGTCAGATGTCTTAAAATCTTCAAACAACTTCTTCTCAATAACCAAAAGGCCCAGGGTACTGATATTGGGCCTGTAGCATGCTGGGATGAAGGACTATCAAGTTTGTTCAACTGAATGACCTTGACCAACTTTCAAGGTCACAGGGGTCAAATGTCGTAAAATCTTCAAGCGACTTCTTTTCAATAAGCAAAAGGGCCAGGGTACTGAAATTGGGCCTGTAGCATGCTGGGATGAAGGATTACCATGTTAGTTCAAATGAATGACCTTGATCCACTTTCAACCTAATGTCCTTGTTCGACAATCAAGGTCAGAGGTGTCATATGTTTAAATCTTTTAATAGGTTCTTATGAAATATTAAGATTACAAGTGTTAGATTAATAACAGGTGAGCGATGCAGGCCCATTGGGCCTCTTGTTATACCATGTCAGCTAACCACTCTTAGAATGATGCAGATCTTATTTCAATGTAAGAAAGTATATAACACTATACTAGTCTAAATATAAAACTCATTGGCATCTAATAATTAGCCTACTCTTTTTTCGAAAACCAACATAGTAATCCTTAATTTAACACAAGGTGTGACTCGCCTTACACCAGACCCCAATTTAACGTCCCTTCCAAAGGACAAGAAGTTTACAGGACAGTGTGAGGGAGCTTGAATGATATCAGAGGTTCTGATGGAAATAGGTAGCTTGTTAGGTTGTTATATTAAGGAGGATTTCTAGACACCAATTGTATAACCTCCATCCTGCAGGCTATCATAATAGCCACGGTGTGTTTGAATAGGGGAAAGGGGGAATTGTAAAATATGTTGTTAGTGTAGGGATGATGAGAGTATGTCACTGCCTTGATTGAAGTTGGCATCGGGAAACCCCACCCATTGATCAAGGGGGAAACCCCACCCATTGATCAAGGGGGAAACCCCACCCATTGATCAAGGAGGAAACCCCACCCATTGATCAAGGGGGAAACCCGACCCATGGATAAAGGGGATGCGTTTTGGTGTGTATCTGTTGTGTAGGTGTAGTGTTACTGTTGCTGTTTTTTGTGGAGAATATTTATACACAACATTACAGATCTTCACTTATGCAACTGCACCTGACGAGATGATGAAGCTGGGAATGTTGAGTTGGAAGTTTATTTTAGTTTTCATTACTTAATGCCCTTGGGAATAAGATGATAATATAAGTTGACAGGTCTTTTTTGACAGTTGTTATAAAATAGATAATATTTAATTGTTTAGGTTTATCTCAAATGAGGATTTAGGTTCTGTAATGAAATCCTACTTGAGACCGAAAAAAACACAGTCCCACTGTTTAACAGGTAACTGGTTTTGTTCTCACATCGTATATAATAGAAAAATATCTAGCTTCGCATTTAGTATCCCACCTATTGCCTCAAACTAATAAGGCCTCTGCACTACTAAAGCTGTCTATAGATGCTTCCACATAAACAAGAGGCCATATGGGCCTGTATCACTCACCTGTCAGTCTTTTCACATTTGTCACTAATAATTGAACTAAGAAGGCCGAGGTCAATTCTTCATCAATAGCATTACACATCAGTTATTAATCTACAATTGATGACTCTGAGTTTGAAGATTTAAACCTTTTTTGCTAATCTCTGGTCTTCAGAGTTGGTATAGATCATCCATTCAGATCCAACACTTCAAGTTACTTTCCATCATTTAACTGCATGCCAAATAACATGACATCAGGCTCTTCCTGTAAATTTGCGGTTATAGTGCACACTGGGGTATAGTGCGCAGGTACGTTTTTGGGGTCAGATAACCCAAGAATGAATGTTCGTGCGTATAGTGCACACACCCTTTTTGACATGACAATATTAACCTAAAAAAGTGTTCACTATAAGCACAAATTTAGGGTAGTTACCAGGTACATATACTTGGAAGTTAAAAAGGAAATCAGTTAAAAAAAAAAGTTTTTCACGCATTTAACCTTAATTGTGACCTTGGAAGTTAGTCAAGGTAATTTAGTTGAACAAAATGGGAAATTCTTAAATCTGAGCATAATACTGGTCAAACCTCATGGCCCTATGTCTCTTGGTTATTCAGAGGAAGTCCTTTAAAAATATTAATACATTTGACCCCTGTGACCTTGAATCTAGGTCAAGGTTATTTATTTGAACAAACTTGATAGCCTTTCATTAAAGCATGCTGAGAGTTAAATATCAATCTAAGCCTCTTGGTTCTTCTTCAGAAGTTCTTTAAGGTTTTAAAGGGACTATTTAGTCAAATAACACCATTAAAAAATGTTTAATATTTCAAAGTAGTAGTTAGTAACAAAGCACTGTAACAGTAATTGTAATTGTAAAGAATTGACTGTCTGTCTGTCTTCAAACTTGGTCACAGGGTTAAATGCATTAAGGGCTCGGCCAAGTTCGATGACAACTTTCAACCGACCCCATTTGACGGAGTTATGGCCCCTCGAATAACGAAAAACGTAATCAACTGCGGTGCTTCGTTTACGTGCAATAACTACAACAAATATTAACCGATTTTCTTCAAACTTAGTATCAGGGTTAAATGCCTTAAGGGCTCGTCAAAGTTCGATGAACACTTTCAGGGGACTTTATTTGCAGAGTTATGGCTCCTTGAATAATGAAAAACGTCATTATCTGCCGTGCTTCGTTTCCTTGCAATAACTACAACAAATATTATCCGATGGTCTTCAAACTTAGTTACAGGGTTCAACGCATTAGGGGCTTGGCCAAGTTTGACAACCACTTTAATTGAACTTCATTTGGCAGAGTCATTATCTGCAGTTTCCACATAATAACTCATACTCACATGTTTAAACCTAAACTCAATAATGTTTACCTACAATATGTCCTGAAAGCGGGGGATATTTATTCCACAAATTTGCTTGTATTTCATTGTTTTTAACGAAATTAAATCCCCAACAAAATATTATGCTTTTATAGTAGTACTTAGTTAGTGATCAGTCAGTTAGCTAGTTTGTTAGTAAGTAATATCTATAGTCATTCACCAAAAAGACACTGAAAGATAAACGGTTAAAACTGCATACATGAATACACAGCTAATTTATATGTTCAGATATTATTATAACTTGCGTTTTTTTTGGAATTTCAAACTTTATGATAGATAATCAAACTTCCTTGACAAATAAATTGTATGGAATAATGTTTTCATATCAGGCACATCATAATATTTGTCTGGAATCTGTCTAAAAATCAGCACATTAAGATTTCTGAATACACATGCTGAAATTAATTAACAATGGTATTATATTTTATAATTTTAACGGTTGATTTTTTTAGTTGTAGATCAGGAGCCTGATATTACTTGTAATGGTGTGTCTGCTGTACCTGGAGACAAAAGAGCGGTTATAGACTGTACAGTAACGGCTCCAGATGTCACCTGTGGGAAAGTAGTGTGGCATTCTGGCGTAAGTGGCCAGGACTTTACACACAAGGGCGGCAAAAAAAGACGTGTCTTCATCAGTTGTAAGGTTAGTGTGCATCACTGTTAACATTAAAATTCATTTATAAACCAGATTTAACGTTTAGTATACGTAATATTTTATTCCACATCTTCATTTCACCTTTTCTTTCCTGGTACTGGCCAAATACACTATCAGTTCCACAATTTGGCCAGCATTATGGTAACTTTTTGGGGTCATGTGATATGGGGTCATGTCATACAAATGATTGAAATATTGTAGCCTTGTGGATCCACTATTGTTTAAACAATGGGCACATCTAGGACCTTCATTTTCAATTTGATTCTAAAGCAACTTCAGATGTAAGTTCAGTATCAAATAGTGTAAATTGTAGAACTCTAGCCTCTCCAAGGTCAAGGTCACTGTTACTTAAGATATATTGATCGCTGAGTATTTCCTTATCAGCATTTTGATTCCAGTGAATCTACATAAAAGGACTCAAGTTTACCAAGACAAACTTCCAAGGGACATCATGCGAAAAGGCATATTTTTTTTTTTAATGAATGTATGTATTGTATGCACTTCCACTTATGTTACCACGCTATCCCCATATTCATAGTCCGTTCCAAATGTCCAGTTTGACCACTTGAATTGTTTGGGAAAGCCCTGCTAAAAATAGAGCCGATAACGTCACCTGACTAGGCAGTAAACACAAGTGGTGCGAGCGAGATGAAACGGTTTCCAAAAGGGCCCCAGAGAGGGGCCGTCAGACAACTGCAACTTCTTGCCGCACTATGACACCAAGTTATATGATTTCTAAGACCAAATTCAAACTTATTGAACAGTAATTATTCATCATTAGAAGTTAATTGCACACTTCACAATATTCAGAATTTAAATTTATTTAGCTTTAACATATATGTTGCCAATAAAATTAAACATTAAAAATTTGACAAGTTTTTACAATTTATCACAGCCTTGTCCCGTCATACATTTACAATTAACTGTCAACAATGATAATAGGCATAAACATAAAGTAGATATATTGAAATATATATTGAATTCAGTACCGGAATGTGGCCGGTACAGATGGTGCGTGGCTAAACACCTTCCCTACACCAAGGGACAAACCTTTCTGATTTTTTTTATATATGTTTCCGGGGCGGAGGAGGCCGGGTATTCATATTAGTACTAATTTAAATCTTGCATGTAAAAACAAAAATAATCGTTTAATTCAGGAATGTAATTAAAGCATACCATTTTATTGAACCCGGTCATATTATAAATTATGTAAATCCACGGACTTCGATAACACGTATCTCGGTGACCCAGAAAATATGCCGTGGGCCATCACAACAGTTATCCCTTGGAGGGCCTCATGGAAAAATCAAACTAACCAGTCACTTATCCCTTTCTTTCGCATATACCACTGTGTAATTATAGAAACACAAAGTAAACTCTCTCCAATACATGCCCATTAACATATTAAACTAAGTTCATCTGTGTTCAAACTCAGACAAAGATACTAGCGAGCTTAATAGTTTTAGATATTTATTCATAACATAAACAGCGCTAGCATTTCTGTCGATTCCATTTCAGCTTAACCGGCTATCCGGAAGAATACATGCACCGTACTAACTGCTACGGCAGTTATTTTCTCCTTTGAATACTGCCCACCTGCAATAATGATTCCGTAACGTACTCCTTGCGCTATCTTTTGACCATTTGGCAACTTTTCGTTTCGTAGCTGACACGGTACAACACTTTTCTTTCGCTTACTTCACACGGCCAGTCATTTTGTTTACAAAGAAATGGTGTGCTATGCGCATGCGCTAGTAGAGGGAAATCCCTGAACAAAACCCTGGTCAGACAGGTAGAAATACCGATGATTTTCTTAGATTTAATCATTTTTATGAATCTATTTCAGCCAAATCCGATCGTTATTTTCCATAAGGAGTCTCACTTGATATGTTTATGTAATATTTGAAAAAAAAGACAAAAAATAAAGTTACTTCACCGTGATACCCCTTTAACCCTTTCACCACTGTAGACCATAATGGACTCATCCATATCAATGCATGGTAGAGTCTACTAAAGTTACATAGGGATGAAAGGTTATGGTCTCATCAGTAGAATGGACTAAAAATCTTCCAACAAAGCGCTTCATAAGATGTAGAATAATGATATTTAACTTGAAGTGTAAGCTTTCTTGCTTTCAAGATTTGAATTAATGACCTTCATCCACTTTGTAGGTCATAGAGGTAAAATGTGTTTGCCAACAATATTCAATATCAGGTTAGCGATGCAGGCCTTTTAGTTTTTCTTGTCTTAATTTGCTTGAAAAATCCCTGTGCCAAGTTTTAAATAACATGATTATGATGATTATGTGTTTGGTGTTACAGAGTATCGGTCAAAACAGTATTTGGACACAGCTGGAGGTGCGTGACCTTGAGAAGAACGACTTTGAGGACACATTCTATATTAAGGTCGAAGGGGGACCTGGTGGGGACTACCAACAAGGACAAAAGATCAACGAGAAAAGTCAGTATCGTTTAGGTGATGTACACTGTTTAAGTATTAAGGGGAAATGAATAAGATGCATTGTTTCATTCAGTTATTTCCCAGTCAAACTTCATCAGATGGTGGGCTGTTCAAATTGTCCTTCATCGATGCATCCTTAAAGAATTATCTCTTCTTTCTCAAATTTCATATGAACGTTAACCCTTGGTCCATAGTTTTACATGTTGAAATTTCAGACTGATTGGAAAAACAAGGTAGCTGTCAGGTAGCCATCATAGATTTTGACAGTCAAAGTTTGTTATCACTGTTACTGAAGAAGTACCTGACAGATCTTTCTGAAACATCATCTGTAGGTCCCCCTTTGTCTGCTGTTATGTATGTTTTTATATTGAGACTGATTAGAAAGACAAGATGGCAACCAGGCAGCAAAGTTTGTTATCACTATTTCTGGAAAAGTGTTTGACAAATCTTTCTCAAATTCATATATATGTTCCCCTTGTTCTGTTTATGACATGTTTCATTTTGAGACTGACCAGAAAAATAAAATTGTAGCCAGGCAGCCATCTTAAATTTTGACTGTTAAAAATGTTCATCACTACTGGGTATTTCTCAAGAAGAAACTGATGGATCTTTCTTGAAATATATTTTATATGTTCCCCGTTGTTGGTAGTTGTGCATTTGTCATATTAAGACTGATAGTATAAACGTGTTGGTTGCCAGGTAGCCATCTTGAATATGACTGTTGAAGTTTGAAATGGCTATTTTTCAGAAAGTAGTTTCCAGATCTTTCTTAAATATCATAACTTAAGAGGTCCCTCCTGTTCCCTAGTCTTGCTTATACCATAAAAACCTGTGCAATATAATTTGCTGAGTTATTTGTCATACTACTGTTTAATCTAACCTTTGACCTTGACCTCAATTACTGAAAAATAGGTTTCTAAAGCATATCTCAGCTGGTGTTCCATGCCAGGGCATTACACTTTGTTGATTGGTACACCACATAAGGTAGTGTGTTGCATCTTAATGCAGTATCACTGTGACTTTGATTTGGACTTTGACCTTGACCTGAAGTACAGCTTGATATATCCGGGAATAAGCCCATGCTTGGCTCTAAGCACATCCATATATATTGCTGTTAGGAAAAAATGCAACAAAAGCTTTTTTTTCTGTCCTTTAATAAGCCCATCACCCAATTTTCAAGCATAGATTATGTGTTGGCCCTTCAGGTTTATTGCAGGAAAAATACAGTTAAGTATTGATTTCTGGAGCATATATCGGCCTCTGTTCAATGAAAGCACTATAACCATTATCATGGAAATGATGGAAATCCTCTCAAATAGCCAATATGTGTGCTTGTCATGAAGAGAAGCATGCTACAAAGATAAGCTCAGGGGTCTGGCCTTGCCCTGAAGAGTCACACCCCAATTCATAACATAGAAACAGTAAGAAGTACCTCTCTGTAAACGTTCTAAGGTAAATATATTCTGTTCCAAGCCACGTTTCTTATGAAACAATATTGTACCCTTTGACCTAGAATCAATTGTTGCGTACTGGAAGAAAGAATAAAGTAGCTCTCCTGGAGATTTGGCATTAAGTGGGGAACTTTTGTCGTGATATTATTTTAAAGTCCACTCCTCCTGACCAAATTTACCATAAGGGCTACTTGGGACCATAGAATTAAATGTATAAAGGTTGGGTGTTACCTTCTGGTTATGCTGAAAGACAAAGCCAAAATTGTGAATATTTGCAGTATTATATTCAATGAAAACATTTTGCCGTAATTGCGTAAATATCCAGGTTAGCAAAACAGGGCCTCTGCACCTTTTTATGCCCCCACCATAAAATGGGGGGCATATAGTGTTGCCCATGTCCGTCCCATCCTGTCGCGTCGCGTCACGTCCCATCCATGAGCGGGGGCATTTATGTCTTACAGACATTTACTTCTATTTTTTGTATTTATCAGTCTTGTATTAGAATCGATCCCTATCATCACCAACTTGAAATATAACTGGTTTTTTTGTAGGTATGGCAAGCAACAAGTCCAACACATTGACAGCCACCAGCACCTCAGTTCTTTCAGCACTGTACACAGCTTTTGCCTTAAAATTAATATTGTCCATTGAAGATGGATAGGTAGGCTTATAGCTTTGGGTTCAAAGATAGCTCAAAGTGAAGACAAGATAAGTGATCCGTCCTAGGTTTTTTCCAACTTTAAATGCTGTGTTGATTATTTCATTGTATGATTAATGCTATAAAAGGATGAAATACATATGAAAACGACCAATAGATTAAAGAAGAAATGCCAAAATTTACGAAAAGGCGAGTACATTTTCGCCGATTCCAGATGACGTGTTTGTAAGTCTGGAAGAAATATTGACCTCTATATGAACGCTTTCTATGGTTTAAGTGAACGCTGACAATGTGAGGTAATGACCCAAAAAGCCTCAAGCACATGACAGCCTCTGTAGTAAGGAAAACATAGAAAAAACTCACCTTCAACTGCAGTCCACCATCTGTGATCACCGCCTGCTCTTTGACATTCACCATCATTCATCATGATGAACAAATTCATTGTCTAAGACAACAGAAAAGAAAATTCTTTTAAATTCTTTCAAATGTTTTTCTAACAAAAGTATATGTCCAGCAGTAAGCGATGTTAGTCGAAGATCAAATTCATCATAAACACTTTATAATACCACCGGTTAACTAAGGAATTCTACACATATGTAATGTTTCAGGGATAGTTAATATCTCACATTCCCGAGGTTGTGTTTTATTTTTAATTTTAAGGAACCAAAGATTTTTATATATTTATATATATAGTACACGCTGTGTCGCAAATCATTCCATTTTATTTGTAAGCAGAGTGTGTGTAATGGTTGGATAGTTTTGAAAATTGGAAAAAGAAATTTAGCTACAAAATCTGTGATAGTGTTTATTTACTGTGATAGCCAAATTGAACATTGTATTTTTCTATTTTTAATGAGATCTGTAAATGCTGTGATAAAATTATATATATTTATTTCATGTAATTTAATAAAAGAGATTAAAGAAAATTTGGTTGAACATAATCCCATTTTGTTGTAAATTGGTTAGCATGTACAAAATTGGGCGGATTGGGCAAGTGGTTAACACTCTGGACTTCCACGCAGGCAATGGGCCTGGGGTTTGATCCTCGAAGTCGTCGTATGCATGGGTATTCAGAGAAAGTGTTTTTCTCCTGCCCACACATCACTCAAACAACACAGGTGGAGTATAAAGGCTGTAGCATTCAAGTGAGGTGGCACTAGAAATTATGCCGTTGGAGGTCATATGTCATTTGGGCGAGAGATGGTCTAAGGGCAGATAACTCTATGGGAGTTTAGTGCTGTGATCCGACAGTAGTTGTCACTGGTGTAGTGACTGGTGTTTATTGATGCTGAAATCAATTATACCTGTGGAAGAGGTTAAGTATCATCAAATAGAGGAGAGAGTGGGATTCTGCAACATTTACAATTATATGTGGCCAATAGGGAAGACAAGTAACAGTTTAAATTATTTATAGACTTCGTATCAATCAGAAACTCTAATAGCCATGCTGCCGCTATATGTCCATGAATAGTGGAAACCATTTTTTTACTAATCACAATATCTGCTATAGGTAGATATCCACATACCGGTAACATTGAATTCAAATAGGGGCCATGATGTTAAGATGTCGGACTGTCTACAATCACCAGCCTCCACCACAGGAGTGACCAGGTTGGTGTTTTTAGCTCACCTGGTCCGAAGTACCAAGGTGAGCTTATGCCATACCGCAGCATCCGTTGTCCGTCGTCTGTCGTTCGTCAACTTTACACTACTAGTCATGAACCACTGAGCGGATTTTAAGAAAATTTGGTGTGGAGCATCCTTGGGTGGAGAAAAACCAATTTTGTATAAATAGTGGGTCTGGCCCCCCAGGGGCCTGAGTGGCGGGGCCAAATAGGGGAAATATAACAAATTCTTTAAAATCCTTCTTCTTCTGTAGGAATGAAAGGATTTGGTCCATATTTCGTCTGAAGCATCCTTGGGTGAAGGGGAACCAATTTTGTATAAACCGTGGGTCTGGCCCCCTTGGGGGGTTGAGAAGCGGGGCCAAATAGGAGAAATATAGCAAATTCTTTAAAATCCTTCTTCTTCTGTATGAATGAAAGGATTTGATCCATATTTGGTCTAAAGCATTCTTGGGGGAAGGGGGACAAATTTTGTATAAATGGTGGGTGTGGCCCCCCTGGGGGCTGAGGGGCGGGGCCCAATAGGGAAAATATAGCAAATTCTTTAAAATCCTTCTTCTGTAGAATTGAAAGGATTTGTTCCATATTTGGTCTGAAGCATTCTTGGGTGAAGGGGAACCAATTTTGTATAAACCGTAGGTCTAGCCCCCCTGGGGGCTGAGGGGAGTGGCCAAACAGGGGAAATATAACAAATTCTTTAAAATCCTTCTTCTTCTGCAGGAATGAAAGGATTTGTTCCATATTTGGTGAGGTGCATTCTTTGGTAAAGGAGAACCAATTTTGCATAAACGGTGGGTGTGTTTTGCATTGTGCCGGTTGTACATTTTCTTCTTGTCCAGTCTGCTTATGATCGACGTTCCTATGATCCATACAGTATCGGTGTGGATATCCCTGGAGTCCCTGGACTCCACATGAGGTGACTTTGACTCTGGTTCAGGCCTGTTTTCCTCCTAGTTGTGTGGCAACCTAGGCCTGTATTCCTTGTCCTCCATGGTGTGTTGGGAATTGATTTTTGGGTGATCATCATTGCTAGTTGTTGACATTTTTGCAATACCTGTATTAACACCCACTTCTCTTGTCACTTTTTGTGTAATACCGGTGTTCACACCCACTTCTCTGGTCATTTTTGGAACCTCCTGTTGTCTGTTCTGAACACTCACCTACATGTTTGGCCATATCACTCAGTGCCTTGGATATGTATTGAACATCTTCACGCAGACTGATGTTTTGTTGTATAATTTCACTTTCTAAATGATGCACGAGCTTTAATAACTCCACATCAACACCACTGATAGTCTGTGTGGATGTCTCATTCTGGCAACGCTCAACAGCCTGAACTGGTGGGGGAGGCTGTTTCAATTGTCTGACCTCAAGTACATGTTTCAAATGTGTCTCATTCATATCACCACTTTCCTCGTGCAAACTACTGTTCTGAAAGATAACTTCCTCGTCACTTTCACTGTCAACATACTCATCACGTTCGAGACTGCGAGCATCCGTGATAATAGGCAGCTCAATACCACGAATGTACCCGTCAATGTCGTAAGAGTTATCTCCCTTCCAACACTGTTCAATGTTTTCAACAGCAGAGTTTAGACATTCGAATTCCGTTTTTAACCATTTCTGTGTCACATTTCCCTGTACCATACATGTGTTCCCAGTGTAATATAGTGATATTGTTAGCAGCTTTTTATTCCCGCACTTGATTTGAGTTATTGATTTAAAAAGGTTGGGATTGATGACTGGGTTGAATGCCCTATTCTCGTCACGAATGGTTAGGACTTGAAGGTTCACATCGTAATCACTCCAGTTAACATCCAAATTGTCAAAAGCACCTAGATTATTATAGTATCTTATAAAGAGTAGTCTCCTCCAGAAAAGGATACTGTCAGAGTTGGTATCGAAAGAAAGTTGTTTTGGGTCAATTTTAACGTCGACCACGTGGTTAGCCATCGGTGGCTAGCTTTCTCTTCTGGGCTTTGAATTACTCATCTTACCCCGTTGATATGGAATGTTTATCGTTTTGGTGTGGAATCTGCACACATGTTACCAGTCAAATAGCATTAGGTTTAGCTTAAAGTCCCACTTGCATGTTGTTTAGTTCAGCAGTTTTCTTTTTCCACCATCTTGCTTTCAGGCGCACACAGATCGTTACAAGGTTTTTGTATTACTGAGTTTATTGTATTATAAAAAAATGGCAGAATTCCAGCCTCCTGTGCTAAAAGCTAGGAAGCTGTTTCGTGACAGAATCGGGGAATGTCATTTAAATGTAACCGTGGACCGAACAAGAGAGTGCAGTTGTACGCAAGGTTAATAAAAAGTGGGACTCATTATGAGGTTGACTAATGTATATCTAAATGAAAATCAACTATTTAAATCCCTAGTTAGACTTCACCTTGAATTTGCAGTGTCTGTGTGTTTGAAACCTACACAAAATCACAGGGACTTGAGAATCTGTTTTTATATTTATATCTGTTTTTCAGCTATATTTGGACGTAAACTAATGTGTACAGAGAACTAGGACATGTTTTAGGGGTTTAGGTGGACTTTCGGTAAATAAAGTTGCTTTAAACACGTAAATTTACTCTGAACACCTTAGTTCAGGTCCAAATAAAGCTGTAACAAATTATCAGGTCCCTGTGCACAAAGGAAGGGAAATTGAGCACATAGAATCGGTACAAAAAAGAGCCACACAATTACTGTCAGAATTAAATTAACGTATTGTAATTGCCCTAGGAAACTAAATCTACACGGCTTAAATATCGCAGGTTACGATGAGATACTGTTCATGTACTTTAAGATGATTGACAATGTCTTTGACGAATCAGAAAGGGACGCTCTGAACAACAGACATGATCAAGAGCATATGAAAAATAAATAATAAAAAATGGTATCATATTATCTGGGACGAAGCGTTATATAATCCATGAGATTCTGTTGTGCTTTCTTTACACTTGGAGTGAAAATCTCGGTCCCTTTCCATCAGTTAGCCGCTGAAAGATATCAAAAACGTAGTTATTAACTCTTAACATTACAAACGATGTAATGGAACAGTCTAACGTCGTCATGTTGTCGATATATAAATATACGAGGCAGGAGGAGAACCGTGAAAATGACGTCGATCCAATGATGCAATCATAGCTCTAATGATGCAATTTCCTCTTGTTTGTGTAAAGGAAGTAGCAGTGAAAACTTGATAATTTATGGGTGGCGCAACGCGATACCTTGTCATAGTGTACATATCAGTGCAAGCATGCACGGACCACAGGGGTTCGTTACAAATGTCTGAAATACACACATATGCTATACTGACAGGGGTCACAGCACAGTGCTGTGTGATGTGTGCTGTGTCACGTTGATTTTGATGGTTTTACGTCCGGTATTTCGACCCGTACAGTATTTATAGCGCTCTGAGCAGACGAAAAAGATGGGAAAATGAATATAGAAGGTTAATGAAGAATTAAGGAAAGCCACGTGACTTCTGTATTCCGTTCCCGTTATATCAGAGACGTATATATTATATATGTAAACAAAAACATCCACCACACGAAAGCTTGAGATATCTTTTTTTACAACCTGTCGCTGAAGGGGCAGTGACATTCAATCGAATTTTGTCAATGTGTTTAAAACTTAAAGTTCTACAAGTACACCTGTTTAATTGGAGTGGGCAATTTTTATAATGCTATTCCCGGCATTTACAAAAGAGCAGACTAATTCACCAATTACATAATGCTTTGTTTGCATTCCAATTCAAGTATAATTGGATGATCATGATATTTGGAGTTCAATCAAAGACCATTCCAAGTCCACGACTGTGACACTAATTTCCTCTTCACCAGATTCCTGCCAAGGAATGCTAATTTATCTCGCACTTTAGTAAGATCCTCGCTCACAGAAACGTTTTCCATACCAGTCGTGCTTTTAAACCTTTTAGAGGTCTTGAGGAGGTTCCGCTTGCTATCGGGTCCCTTTAGCCTGGCAATGATTTCTCAAAGTCATCTGAGACAGTGCTATTGTTAAGAAGCAATGGTGGTATACAAAATTTACCAGAGTTGGGTAATAGTTGCTTTACAGTTTTCCACCATTGTTTAGCACTAATGTTGGAAGGTTTGCGAAGTTCGCTACATAAATTAGAAAAATATGTTAATTTGGCGTGCTTGATTGTGTTAACACATTTGTTACGAAGTCGACGAAACTTGTTTCATTGGAGTGGGCAATATTTATAATGCTATTCCCGGCATT